AAAATTAAAATTAGTCATAAATTTAAAAGTTGCGATAACTTTTTTTTTGGTCCAATACTTTTGACCGGGGAGTGTACGTACGTTTTTACTTTGATTAAATCCATGATGTCGTCAAAAACTTTAACAACAATGGGATTCACAAAGTTTTCCCGGTAAGAAAGTTCACTTTGATCTGGATCCAATAGTAGGTTAGTGTATGCATCAAAAAGAAATAAACTAAAGAATAGATAGTATGGACTTTAAATTAAGTGTCGCAAACGAAAATAACACTAATCGCGAATATTTATACTCACAACCGTTTATAAATATCTTGTACCCATAAGAGATCATGATGTTCTCTATGAATAAAAGGTCTAACATACGGTTTCTCTAGAACATCCTCAATAGTACTATCCAGGGAAATTACATCAAAACAGATTTATTTTCTAAATGGGTTTGGTACTTTTGGATAAGAGGAATTAGAACTTTTCCCATTTATCTAAGCGAATTGTCTATATTTTTTCTAATGGTTCTAACTGAAAGGCAAGCAAAATTATTAAGTTTTCAACAAGAAATGTAGCCTAAAAGCAAACAATACAATACCGAGTTCCAAATATCTTTTAAGATGCGCTTTTCGGATTTTGATAATTTATTAACGGGATTCGTAACATTTCGTTCCGAGAGATTAATGATTCGATAGTCGAATAGACGATATTTTATACCTTTCATCTTTTCGATTATTTTACGAATTTCCTCCGGTACAATCTGTGAATTCTATGAAGATAGAACATAGTTAGAAATCTGATGAGGGTACATTGTAATATTAAATTTGCGCAAATACCTCCTGAGATAATTGTAAGTACGTATTTTCGATATCAACTTCGTAATTTTGCATTTGTCCTATTGTCTGTGAGGAAACTTTTTCGTGATCGAAATTGGAACAAATGGAGTCTAAACCCGAAAACTCTTGCTCAATTGATCTCTCATTACAGCTTTGCTGGATCCAAAAGGGTACAGAAGCATCCGATAACGCACCACACGAAAAAATTCGATGTGGAGGAGTTTGTGGTGGCTGATCTTGTTCAAATTGTGGAGTAACCGGGAAGTATTCATTTATTCTTGTACGTTTTGAAACTTTATCTTTTGTTGAAATTTCCCCTTTAAAACCCGATTGTTTTTCGTCCTTATAAGGTCGTTCTGTCCTTGAATAATATTACCAGTACAACCAATCTGTACTCCGTCACAAGATAAAAATGTACTGTTAACCTTCATATCTTTCATATTTAGTAAAATTGCGACGTTTCATCCAGAAATTGTCGATTAGTCCCGTTTTCCTAGACTCAGCCTTAAGAAAATAAAATTTACATATTAATAAGGGTTCCCAAAAAAGTTGTAAATTAGCAAGTCACAAATTAATATGCCACAAGCTGGCTACAGCGGAGACGCAGTCCATAACCATGCGAAGACGCAGTTCCATGGGTAGCTGTAGTATTGGAGAGACGAAACATAGAAACAAAGGTGGGTGGCTACTGAATGTGGCCCATTAATCTACAGTTATTATAGCTTATGAAAATATATTGACCTTGAATTGCTCCTCGAGACGTATCGAATTTTCCTTTTCCTTCTTTGTGCCTTGTGATTTATAATTTCTAACTGTTTATGAAAACTTCTTGTTAGAGTCGCCTTGTCTAAACCCAAATTACTATTTCCCACGCTTCATGGTATCGAACAGCATCCCAAGATTGACAAGGAGTGTTCAAAACCAGGCTCGCTGAAGTCGGTTATCATGATTCGTAATGAAAAAAAGATATTACTTTAGAGATTTAAGAAAATTTAAGCTAGAAAATTTTATTGGGAGAGGACCATATTCGATATCAATATTTCCATAAGGAGTAAAAGTGCATTTGAAAAATTTCCTGATAATCATCAAAAATCAGTATGCTAATTGATCAATCGTTTTTTCCAATGAAAAAAATTTTGATCTGTGGGTTAAAAGCATAGCAAAACTTTATTAATTTTCCAGTGAAAAAAATGCTAGAGAAGCGAGTAAAATATGTTGATGCTATCAAAGAGGGAGGGAGTACGCGGATCCTAAGCCATAAATGAGAGTCCCAGCATTAAGTTATTTTGCAATATTATCTCTACTGATACTTCCTCTAATGCTACCGCTACTGCTACTGTTGTTACTACTGCTATTATCAGAAAAACTAACTGATTTCTTATTTCCCTTCTTTTCAACCTATTTGATAATTTTATCTATAGAAGTTCTTGGTGATTTTTGATGATGATAAAACTAGCTAATATGCTAGTACTAAGTTCAATTTCAATCGATAAAATATTGTATAATTGTGTTGGTAAACAAGCTTCTCTTTTTCTTCTATTATTAATAAAAACCATAAATTTGATCCAGTACGTTTCATATTCATCTGTATATTCAGAATACTGCCTCATGAAAACATGACTTATGGAAGAGAATCGGTTTGATCTAACTAGAAAAAATAAGATACAGTTTGACGCAGATAAGTATGTATGCATGACATGGTATTTTTTTTCCTCTGTAACACATAACTTACCTTGAGATATCGCATCATTTCTCAATTTAGCTTCTGTATGCATTCTTTGAAGTTTATTGCTTAATGTTAAGACTGTTCTTTTAAAATTATTGTCTCCTAATCGCATTAGATATTTTCGAAAAAAGAAGATAATAACGGCAAAGATTATATAAATGTTTACGTTTCCCAAAAAAATGTTCTAGATCATATCTATTATAAGAACACCATAAGTTACTATTTCGTAAATTACAATTATGATGCTAAAGATTGTGATTAAGAAAATATTTGTATTTGAGAACATTTTTTAGATAGATTTTGTTTTATTAGTTTTATATGAAATTAATATTTTTTTACTTAATTGGAGGAAAAGAATTATCAAAACGCTTCTCTAGAAATAATCCTTTTATAATCACCTGGCAAAATAAATGTCTATATACACTAGTAAGAGAATTTGCGTTGAAATATGGATTTGGATCATTTAGCTGAAAGTATTGTATATAAAAATGATATCATATATACACCCTTATTTCTAAAAAAAGAAAATTATTAAAATTCTATTTGACGTTTGTACCTAAAGATGAAAAAAATTAGTGCATTCCTATATCTTCATATTCCTATAACATGTTTCAAACAATGAAAATAATAATATTTTTTCATAAATTCTTGGCTGAGAGACCTTACGCAAAAGAAAAGTTTTTTATTAATAAAAAATATTGAAATATTTATTAGGTAGCTTTGCTTTACGTGAGTACAGTATGTAAATAAGCTATATTATAAAATACTATTCTCTTATTACATTTTTATCTAAAAAAAGAGCAAAGGAAGAACTAGATATTTATCTAGATTTTTTTACTTCAGATATATAAGAAAGTAGGACTTCTTCATTCGTGATGCAGTTCGCTATAAAAAACCTTCATTATCATAGGTAAATGCAAATCAAAACATAAAGTCTGTTGGAAGGAAATAGGTAGAGTATTTATAAAAAATATCAGACAGATCTATATGAATATTATTGCGAAAAATTAGCCATTTTAAGAATAAAATTATCAGAAGCAATGGCATAAATTTTCTGATAACCTATGATAATCGATAAGCAGACTACTGTAATCCATATTCTTAATTATGTGAATAATTTATAATAATACTTTAGCCCTTTTTTGAATATAGTATACTGTTTATTTATGAGCTGATATAACTACTAAAATATCATAATAGTAATATATTTTTTCATTTCATTCTAATAACACGATCAGTAAAATGCTTTACTACGTATTAATACTATATAAAGTTAATTTTACTGTGCTACAAAGATTGATGAATGATTAACGTTATTAACATCGTTAACATTTTTAACTTAGTTAACATTTTTATTTTATTTATTTTATTCTTATATTTTAATGTTATTAATTATTATATTAGTATTATCGTTAAATTATAATTTATCTTTTATATTTATCTTAGCATTATAAAATAGTTTAGCGTTAGATAGTAAATTCTTATAATTGTATTTTTGTATAAATAGGATAGAAGCTTGTCCTTGCAAAAGGGCAGAAATAACAGTATAAACTCAATAGTTTGAGTTTAAGACTTAAAATCCAAGGTTAAGGATTGCTAAGGATATAAATCTTTACAATAAAAGGAATCTCTTTCTAAACTACACATATTAAAAATCCTTCAATGTGTCAATTGTGTTTATTGTACTTACAAATTGTTAAAGTTATTTACTCGTCTAAAAATATAAATCTAAGGTTGATTGTAATAGGACTTATTTCACAGTAACTTAGTAGTTTCTCGTACGTTATTTCCTATTATTAAATCATAGTTACCCTAAGTTCGATGGTTGAGCGTAGGGTTAACATCACTGATCAATTTAAAAAGAGATATATTGTATATTTTTGTATTTTTATTTTTATTTTTATCATTTTGATGTACTATTTAATTCCCAAAATTTTTCTCTAATAAATTTAATACAAATCTGCTTTATCTTTTATAATATTTTTTATGATTGATAACTTTTTTTTATATTTATGTGATTGATATTTCACATGTGATAGGTTGCTTATTAAATATGTTATTTATTTATTTTCTTTTTTTAAGATTTATTTCTATGATATTTTACTATTTTTTATATACATTTAATAATTTAATTTTATTGTCTCATATATGTGTTATATGTTTTATCATATAATTTTTCTTGTTAATTTTTATTTCTTTATCTTATTTTAAATGTATTTTTACTAATAAAATAATTAACATTGAGAATTTCTAGTAGATGATCTTAATACTGTAAATGTGACATCTATTGAAAACTACTGTCTCACTTATAGAATTATGTATTTTTGATCAACTTTTAAATTCAAATTGAAATCTTTCATTATTCTTAGTATAAAGATCAAGATATTTATAAGTAAATTTTATTATTTTTTTTATTATCTTAAATATTCCTTTTTGTATATATTGAAAATTATATATTAAGATCATTTGTGTAATATGAGATTTATTATTTTACATAAATATAAGAAATATGCTTACCTATCATTACTTTTTTTCATAAAATTTTTCAGAATTTGATTCTGTTCTTGTTAAAACATATATAAATATTTAATATGAGAGCTGTATTATTATTTAATTCATTCTATTTTCTAATTTAAATATACAATTTATAGTTCTTTCAATTTACATATCAATTTAATAAGTGATTTCTAGTTTATAAGCAAGTTCCAATTTTTTAAAAAATCTTCTTCTCAATGATATTGTTATGATTAAATATAATTCTAGCTAATGTTTTGAATGGTTCAGTTTAGTCTGAATTATAGGTTAATCTGAAACTGAACTGATAATTTTGATTCAGTTCAGTTCAGATTATAAATCTTAAAAATGTCAATCTGAAACTAACTGGACTATGAACTGGTAAAAATCTGAACTGAACTGAAAATTTCAGATTAATCTGAAATTTTAGATTGTTTAGAATGATTTTTTATTGTTTATTTGAAATGATAATTTCATCATTCCAATCAAAGATCCTTTTATTATTCTTTTAGAATGATAATTTAATCATTCTAATTGAACAATTTTCTTATCATTCATTTGGAATGATAACTTCAATTGTTCCAAATGAACGATTCTTTATCATTCTTTTAGAATGATAATTTAATTGTTTCAATCAAATGATTCTTTTATCGTTCATTTAAAATGATAATTTCATCATTCTAATGGAACGATCCTTTTATCATTCTTTTAGAATGATAATTTAATTATTCTAATTGAACAATTTTCTTATCGTTCATTTGGAATGATAACTTTAATCATTTTAAATAAACAATTCTTTATCGTTCTTTTAGAATAATAATTGAATCATTTCAATTGAATGATTCTTTATCGTTTATTTGAAATGATAATTTTATCATTTAATTGAATAATCCTTTTATTATTCTTTTGAAATGATAATTTTATCATTCCAATTGAAAGATCCTTTTATCATTTTTTAGAATGATAATTTAATTATTCCAATCAAATAATTTTTTTATTATTCGTTTGGAACAATAACTTCAATCATTCTAAATGAACGATTCTTTTATCATTCTTTTGGAATGATAATTTAATCATTCTAATCAAATGATTCTTTTATCATTCTTTTGAAATGATAATTTAATCATTCTAATCAAATGATTCTTTTATCGTTCTTTTGAAATGATAATTTAATCATTCTAATTAAACGATTTTCTTATCGTTCGTTTGAAACAATAACTTCAATTATTCCAAATGAATGATTCTTTTATCATTCTTTTAGAATGATAATTTAATTGTTCCAATCAAATGATTCTTTTATTATTCATTTGGAATGATAATTTCATCATTTCAATTGAATGATCCTTTTATCGTTCTTTTAGAACGATAATTTAATCATTTCAATTAAATGATTTTC